AAACTGTCTTGGTGGTTCAATCATCAAAAACATGAAGGAGCCAATGATGAAAAGCAAGACCCAACTTGTTCACAGACAGCACATCAGAGAATTCACCAAAGACTGAAGATAGGATCTCACACAGCACAGTGTAGAAAGCTGTGTAGGAATGCATTCTAGAAAATGGACTGAGAGGAAAAATATATAGAATGTATAGCAGTCATACATCAAAAATAGGAAGGTAAGTAGCAATCCTCATCTGAAAAGAATGATCACAGTTTGCTCAATAAGCAAAAATAAAAGAGCATCCACACCTTGTTAACAACTTCAGGACCAAGAGTCGCTGCCTTCTTTCCAGGAACAATGATCAACTTGTTCTGCTGGAAACAGTTTTTGACCGAAGGGAGATGAAAGAAATAGCCACTTACCCTTACAGCTAATTCTCCACAGAACTGAGAAAAGAAAAGGTACTATTCATTTTTCTGTTATGGCAACATAAATGAGAAATTATTCCACTAAAGTCAATAAAGGCTCATCAGCATATCACATGAGAGAAGAATCAGATATTCAGACTTTACAGAGTCAGGAAAGGTCTTTTTTTTGTTGTTTGGGTGGTTTGTTTTTTTTTTAAGGTATTGTTCATCACTAACTCATTAAAGATACATATGAGCCAAATGCAACATTGCTAGGGAAGTCCTTCAAGATGGCAATTTATCAGGGATAATTTTCTAACATACACATGTCTAGTGTTTACCACATTTAATCATCAATTGAAAATTAATTTTCTGATTATCTAGTAAACTGAAAAAAAAAAGTTAATCAGTTCTGGTTTAAGGAAAAGTCCTTGGTTATTTTTCTTATACACTGCTTCAAGGACTACACCCCACATGTGCTTTCTAAACACCACTATGAAGTTTAATAAGCCTACTTGAAAAAGCTGGTAAGGAAGTCCTTGAGATAAACCATAAACCAGATATGAACAAATATCCAAATACTGTTTACCATTGCTGGTTTTAAGTATTATCAGAGCTTTTTCCAACAGAAATGAATTAATTTTTAAATACTCTGAGATGTTGTGGTGGTTTAACTCCAGCCAGCAAATAAGCACCATGCAGCTGCTTGCTCACCGCCCCTCCCTCCCGGTGGGATGGGTAGAGGAATTGAAAAGAAGTAAAACTTGTGGGTTGAGATAAAAACAGTTTAATAACTGCAATAAAAGTTAAAATATAATAATAATAATAGTAATGAAAATGAAGATAACAAAAAGAGTGAAATAAACCCCAAGAAAGACGAGGCAATAAACCCCAAGATGCACGAGGCAATCACTCACCACCCACCGATTGATGTGCAGCCAGTCCCTGAGCAGCAGCTCACCCCTTCCAGTCAACCCTCCTCCAGTTATATACTGGGCATGATGTCACATGGTATGGAATATTCCTTTGACCAGTCTGGGTCAGCTGTCCTAGCTGTGTTCCCTCCCAACTTCTTGTGCCCCTCCAGCCTTCTTGCTGGCAGGGTATGAGAAGCTGAAAAATCCTTGACTTAGTATAAACACTGCCTAGCAATAACTAAAAACATCAATATGCTATCAACATTATTCTCATACTAAATCCAAAACACAAAGCTATATCAACTACTAGGAAGAATATTAACTCTATCCCAGATGAAACCAGGACAGATGTCCTAAAGCATTTCTGGACTGCTGAGTTTCACTTCTTTCCAAAAATTGTTGTGAACTGCAGTTTCTCCCCAAGAATCACAAGCGACAGCTCAGACACAGCTACTATTACCAGGAACAGTGATGATGCAGTGTCCCACAATTTAGCTACATGTTTCTTATAAAATACACTGCCATTGAATGTGTTCACTGATTGTGAGTATGACACCCAAAGGGCTTCATTAGGTTTGAAATGTGTATATGAAGCAAGCAAGAAAATAATTAAAGTTACTGTTCTTTAAGACAAGGCTCTAATGTTAAATAAAAGCAATGGTACATATAAAGTCATTGGTCCTTCCCTTAGTAGCTGTAATCAATAACACGAGTCACTCAGTCTTTGCTACTCATTCAGTATTTTCATTATTTCTTTTCCTTAAAATGTGTGTTGTGGAGGAAGACCAAGTTTTCACTATTTTTGCTAATACAACCCCCAATTCAGTCAAATTACAAGAAATAACCATACATTTGGAGAGAAGTTTAAAGGAAGAGCTTCTATATGCGCCTCTCTAAATCAGTCTTGTAACAGGACAGTTTCAAGTTTCTTCCCATCGTAACTCATGCTGTCAGTGGAAGATGATACCACATCTCTGGTACTGCTAAAGTTCTTCAAAAGTTCTACCCAGAGAAGAGAATCACAGTAGACTGGATAAAACAGGCAAGACGACAAAACAGAAAAGCTGTTTATCACAGAAAGTGATAACTAAGGTGTAAGAGAAAGCAAATAAATCCTGATAAACAGGAGAGGATAAAGGTGAAATGGCCTGTAAGTAAACAAGCTTAAATCACTGCATCACTAGTTTCATGAGTTTTGCCATTCACATGTTTTACAGCTAACAGTCAAATCAAGAGAAGGTGAATAAGCAATTACCAATTCTTAAGCTTTTTGGACTCAATTTAGGTATTTCAGTTAAATATTTAGAGTTTGATAAAATGGCTCGGGGCCTTAGTTTCAATTAACCCTTCTTCCAATTGTGTGTCTCATTGCTAAAATTCTCCCTCTAAAAATGAATTAAAAGACACTCCCTCTGTAGCAGGGTATTTTATATATGCCAAACCCCCCCCCCCC